TTTCCAATAGGGGCTGGAAATAGTTGTTTGTCTACTTATTCCTTCCAATCATCATTCTAAATTAGAAACTGCCTGGTTCAATAACCGTTTTAGGTAATCTCTGTGTTTGCAAATCGAACTGGTCTGTATACACGGTGTCAACAATTAACGAATCTGACACCTGTGCATGTTATATTAACAAATCCCCTGGTCTTTAGACTTTAGCTTGTGCAGAACGTCTTAAGACCACATAATTGTTTACATAAGAATCCTTAAGCCTTCAGACCCTAGGTTGTGAATGATGCGTGTAGAGTTGATCTGTATACAAGGCTAACAATAAACAATGCTGTCACCTGTATTGATTGACAGTTTATGTTGACAATAAGTCTATAGAAAACATAACATGAAGCCGTAATAATCCCTTAATTATAGATATAACAGTTAGTATGCGTGTCGTGCTTGTAAGCACCATGAACACAGCCTGTGTTGTTCTTGTGTTGCCTTAGTTTTGACATGTGTGACATTTTACACGACCAGAAGTCGACCTTAGTCTAGGGGTATTCTCGAGTTGACCTCGTTGGTAATACATGTCTGCAGACATATTTTTTTTAGAAACAACCAGGTGATAATTGCCAAATCCTTTTTATTTATACTTGTCCATGTGTGAAGTGCTAATAAAAACGTCTACTCAGTAAGAGCATTCGGTATGTCTGTGAGTAATCAAATTGCAAAGGGATTTTTTAAAATGAACTTGTCGATTTTCAAGCTGATTGCCAAAACAATTTGGATTGGTGACATAACAGAGCAGAATTTTACGTAACAACCCAATAGACTCTAAAGTCTTAATGGACTGTACTTGGTCTAAAGAGACCTTGATTTACAAGGTAAGAAGACCCCTTAAAACCAGGATTGAGCTAGCTTGTGGTGTTTGTCACTCACAGTTATTCTTAGCTTTGTAAATGACACCGTAACATAAGCTGCTGTTTTCATATTGCCATGGTTATGTCACGCTACCCTAATCTTTGCAAAGATCTGTTATTTTGCCCTTTAGACGGAATGCTAAGTCTTCATTGTTATGTACAGGGAAGCCTCATCCACTCACCACACAGGAGAGATGGGTCGTCCTTGACCAAAAATACAACCCATGCGCAACTGACAAACGCCCTTGATTATTATTGTCGAGTATCAAGGAATAAAACCAGAAATGATATACATATATTAATGGACATCAACAATTTTGAGGTTGGACTACCTTGTCAATGTGTGTTTGCAATAGTTGAACACTCAAGTAGGTGTTTTTTAAAGAAATCTCATCGCTTAAATATATTCCAATATGGTTTAAAAATAGTGGTTTGTCCACGTTTCCCTTCCAATCAACATTTTAAAGTAGAGAATGTCTGGTTCAATAACCGTTTTAGGACATCTGTGTTTTCATATCGAGCTGGTCTTTATGTACGGTGTCAACAATTAACAATCCTGACACCTGTGTATGTTATATTAGCACAGCCCCACGTCTTTAGACTTCAGCTTGTGCAGAACTTCTAATCACCACATAATGGTTTACATAAGAATCCTTAAGCCTTTAGACACTAGGTTATGCATAATGCATGTAGAGTTGATCTGTATACAAAGCTAACACTGGATAATGCCGTCACCTGTATAAATAGACTATAAGCCTATTGAAAACGTAGCATCAAGCAGTAGTCATCCTTTCAACCAGAATTTGCCATAGACATAACGATTATTCTGTTTGTCGTTTGTCTTGTTCTTGTGTTGCCATAGTTTAAAAATTTTTGGCATTTTACACGACCAGCTGTCGAATTTAGTCTAGGGGTTTTCTCGAATAAAAGTCGATGGTGATACATGTCTGCAGACACAGTGCTTAACAAACAGCCAGATGATAATTGTCAAGTCCTTATTCCTGTTAACTTATCCATGGGTGAAATTTTAAATATAAACTTCTACTTAATGAGAACATTCAGCATGTCTGTTAGTGGTACTTCCTGCTTTGCCTCCTGTACATAAAGCTCTGAGAAATAAATTCAAAGGTTGTTTTTTTTTACTTAATGAACGTATAGATCTTCAAGCTGACTGCGAAATACTTGGACGTAACGACATAACAGAGCAGAATTTTACGTAACGGCCTAATGAAGTCAAATATCCTAATGGACTGTACTTGGTGCAAAGTGACCTGGCAAAATTATCCTTTAAACCAGGCTAGAGCAAGCTTGTGGTGTTTGTCACTCACAGTTATTCTTAGCTTTGTAAATGACACCGTAACATAAGCTGTTGTTTTCATATTGCCATGGTCATGTCACGCAACCCAAATCTTTGCAAAGATCTGTTATTTTGCCCTTTAGAGGGAATCTTAAGCCTTGATTGTTATGTACAGGGAAGCCTCATCCACTCACCACACAGGAGAGAAGGGTCGTCCTTGACAAAAATACAATCCATCGCAACTGACAAACGCCCTTGATTATTATTGTCGAATAACAAAGAACAAAACACAAATTATATACATTTAATTATAAATATCACACGTAAAGTAGATATCACGTGTAATATCAATGTACGATTCCCTATATGGTAGATTTGTTTAAAACGTAGTATAAAATTTATGCCATTACTAAGAAAATGCATATCTATCATAAAGGCCTAGAGGTTTATTTCTATGAGGCCACACAAACTCGGATTTTTAAAAGAAAAAAAAAAAATTAGAAGTGACTTGACATACAAATAAATTGCGTGTATGGTAAACTATTTGGGTGTGTATGGTCAGCTGTATATGGTCGAAGAGTCCGAGAATGCCGGCTTGCCTTGGAGTACCCAGAACTGGGGTCAATACTCGGCATTAATGTCAACCCTTGTTCTAGGTAGCCATTTGAATACAAGAACATCATTTGTACATATTACATACTTACTATTATTTATTTGGTTTTGTTCTGGCTAGGCAGCAAAAAAGGTAAAAGAATCTCCTAAATTTTAAACCTTGATTGGTAGTATCAATAGCCATGCTATTTAGATTCTACTCAAGGACTTCAATACCAAAATTGACAAGGCAGAAGAACTACATCAAGTTGTATTGACCCGCAAGGTTTTGCAAACGAATCCAACGATCATGGAAATTGCATAATCACCCTGGTCAGCTTAACACCAAGTAGCGTGGGTAGCACATAAACAAATTCACCAAAAAAAGGGGGCATCGTCAGGTGGCTTTACTGCTTTACTTTCAAACGAGGTCGATTACATCTGTACAGACCGCAGATAGAGGTATGCACTGTTTGGCACTCGTGGTTACATGGTCTAACATCGGGTTCAGCCACAACTTGGTCACCGGGAAAGTTAGGATTAAATTTAGCAGTCGATATAGCTGTATTGGCCAACAGTGTTACAGACAGACTAGCTACAACAGAGGCAACATTCGGCTCAGACTGGGTAAAAATGAAACAAAGGCTGTAACATCTATTATAAACCCTTCCCCTAGCAATGCTTGGCAACAAATCGAACACCTGGACGCTTTTAAAATGTTTTTTTTTTTGGGGG